GATGAGTACCACTGTGGCTAAAGTTTTTGTCATAGTCTGCTAACCCCGCAATGAAGAAAATGTTATAGTAATTTGATTCTGATTTGCTTTATGTACTCTATGTTTGAAATCCAGATGGAAATTGTGACCTTGTCTTTCTAACCTAGAGCTGAGAAGACAAGGGATCGGGAGAATGGAATGAAAGTTCCAGCTCTGCCATTAACAACAAGAAAGATATGCACAAACCAGGACATTGAAGTTTAATTTCTCCATTGTAAGATGAGAAACAAAATAATATTGTCTTTGAGATCTATTTTGTCATCTTAATTCTGTTACTTTATGTTACTTACCTGGATTCCAGAGTGCAAAACAAACTTTTGTATCTGTGGTCATGAGAGAAGAATATAGGTTTGTTTGTATTAAAAAACAAGTAGGAAGTCTATACTGCCTACACTACCAGGAATCTTGAAATGCTTGGGGTATGACAGCTGAAGAAAGCATAGCTCAAGCTTTGTATTTAGGGAAAAAAACCACATAAATTATTTGGCATACTAAAACATCATTATGCCAAGTGTGCTATATTGCTTATTTGTCTAAGTGCCAATGAAAGCTATAATTTGTATGTTAAAAAACCATTAAGAACTCTCCAGAGCTAGATTTGGTTTTACTTTAGAGCATGTAAGTTTTGCTGCTAGGCAAGTGTTAGGACTGATTTAATTCCAAAGACAGAACATTCCATTCTTAGCAGATTCAACATGAAGAATCTTCTTTGGTTTACACAGACAAACAGAGGCAGGACCTGCTTCAGGTAAAGTTGTTTTCGGGAGTATGTGTTACAGCACAATACCCCTTTCCTCCTCCAGCTTCTGTTTGTATAACTGTGTGGGCAAGATGACTACATAAGGAGCCATTATATAGTTGTAGATCCTTCTATATATTCTTTAAATCCTGCCTGATAGGTTTAAAACAGTAAGATAGTATTTGCCCTCCAAAGCTTCTGACAGAAATCTTACTGTATGTCATTGCTTTGAAATTTATCCCTTCCACACTCACGAATGTGGCTAAAGCAATGCTTTCACACTTACTTCAGAAACAAATGTAGAGCATTCCCTGAATCATATGGGCCAAAAGCCAGGTAAAGGATGATCCTGCAGAGCAAAATTAGGATCCATCTAGTAAAAGAACTGGATAAGTGCATCCCAAAATAATATACATCTATCAAGTGCAGATTGCCTTCTTTATCAGTTATTACCTTTTCACTGGTTTCTTTCAACTTTAGGATTGCTTTCTCTTGCAAATGTAACCCAAGCAGAAAAATCTGGCATTCAAATATGTATCAACCTCCACTGAAATCATACGAGGGAGTTGAGTAACGTTAGTGACGTGCACTAGCACTATGACTTTTAGCACTAGTCAATAAGTAAAATTCTATGTTAAGCTGGATACAAGTCTGCAATTTAGCGCTTCAGGAGCTAAATCCTATAGGATTATAGTTGAAGGATGGCCTGGGAAGTTAAGTCCATGAGACTATCCAAACTGACCAGCAAAAAGCCTGAGCTCAGGTGGTAGAATGCCAGCTAGGCAAGGTGGTTGAGCAAACTTGACATATGCATGGACAAATGCATATATACTTAAACATATTATCCAAAGTGTGATATGCACACAGGAAGTTTGTGATGGTACAACTCCTTTGAACACATACCATATAGCTTTACAAAATAAGCACTAGAGAACTGAAACATGAGTTGTGGGGGGTCAAGGAGAGGTCAAGGAGAAAGGGAGCAGGTGAATGGAGAGAGGAAGAGGAGTGAATACAATCATAACATGCAGTGTACACATGTGAAAAGGAAACAGGTAACTTGGGGGGGGTTGGTTTGGGAACGATGGGGGAAAATGATGGAAAAGGGGACACTGATCAAGGTGCATTGTACTCAGAAACTGAAATGCTGAATTGAAACCCCTTTGTACAACCACTTTAGGTTAATAAACAACAACAAACCACAACAATCAAAAGCAGGTAGTATTGCTCAAGCTTCTACATACTGTTCTTCCTCCTCTAGACTGGCTAGAGAACAGTTTCACAAAAAAAATCATATGCTAAATTTGAAAGGAAAAGCTGGCAAAATCATTTTCAATGTATTCCATAATCTTAAAGAAGAACTTTCTGGTTTTTAGGGTGAACTGTGTAGGTCTATTTGGCTGGGAGCAGAGATGTTTACTGTTGGCTTACATTGTAGAAGTCCAGAGATAAAAGTTCCTTCATTGTGCCTATTTTCATGCGCTGTTGTCTCTGTTTCCTTAGCACGTTCTCTTAAAAAATATGATCCAAGTTCTGCAGTTCTTCTAGCTGTAATCCACTGTTATTACTTGGGAGCCTAAATGGCGGCAAGGATGGGGATAGGAAATACTTTCCTATGGTGAGTTAGACTTTCGTCGTGAGCCTCTGCCTCAGGCCATGAACATACTAAGGCTTATCCAGTTCTTTCTCTCCCTTTAGTTGACAGAAAGGCTAGAGGGGCTGAAGGGGAGCATCTTCCTGCCCCCAGGTCTGTGAAGCTCTGATCAACTAGTTTCTCTTGAATATTGGTGGAGGAGAGCATGGCATGGCTCTTGGAGAATATCTCAGCATTGTTATTTTCTCCTTTCTGCTACCACCATAAAGGAGTGTTTTTTTTTTTTCTCCAGCTTTACTGTGAGCACCTGGTGTAGGAAACGGTGTTCAGGGGAGGATTCCAACAGTGTAACTTCTCTGAACAACTTGCAAATAGTTCAGCAAAATGAGCACCAGATGAAACTAAAACATGTTCTGTGCAGGAGGGCCAAAGGGAGGGGGGCAGACAAACAGAGGAAGGGCGGGCAAATAGTCATTATATTCAATGCACATATGTGGAAATGGAGCTGGGGGACTTTAGAGTATAAATGGAGTAGGGAGAGATGGGGGAGAATGATAGAAGGAGTGACATGATAAAGATGCACTGTACTTACAAACCGATGAGTTGAACTGAAACCTCTCTGTACACTTATTTAAAGATCATTTCAAGGTTACAGATAATCCCCTAAAATTTGGCATTGGGGTCCCTAACTCAGTTATCCACACTGAGTCTCTAGAAGTTTGTCAATTATAATTTAAGCATTTGTACTAGCTGTAGCCCAGATGGCTGACTCAAGTACCTAGGTATCTGCTATGATTCTTAGTGTCTGCCTCTCTTTGTCTCTCTCATTTTTATAATAGCTATTTGCTCTGTGATCTCAACCCTCAGATTGTGTGTGTGTGTACGAGTCCTCAGGCTGGAACTCAGAGCCTAGATTCTATTCCTAAGTATTTTTGCTCAAGGCTAGCACTCTACCACTTGAGCTCCATATCTGGCTTTTTGGTGATTAATTGAAGACTCTTATGGACTTTCTTGCCCAGGCTGGCTTTGTACCATGATACTGAGATCTCAGCCTCCTGAGTAACTACTATTACAGGCATAAGCCATCAGTGCTGGGTATAAGGCATTTTTGAATTTCATTTGCTCAGTTTTTCTGTTGTAAAAAAAGTTGACTTCCAAAATCTTTCTATAGAACAGCAGAAACTTAAACTTGCTATCACTCTGTTATACTATACAATATAGTCACACTAAATACTATATATGTAACTATATAATATATATATATAAAATGCCTTGAAGTGAATACAATGTCTCCATCTTTATTCTGTACATATGCTTCATGTTGTGTATTATACTCACAGCACATGTTAATATTTGCATCATGACAGTTTGCTTCATCATGAAGGTGAGTTCTGGTTTATCGCTAGTGAACTAACATTTGTTTCTTGGGTAGAGGGAACACTCAACATGAAATCTGCCCTCCTACTGAATTTCCAGAACACACTACAGAATAATTAATCATAAGTGTAAATTACTCATTTTTAAAATTTTTATTTTTAAGTTATATTTTTATTATCTCTGAGGAGTTGTACAGAGGAGTTACCCTTCAATGCCTTCGTTTCAGAGTACAATGCATCGATGGCACCCCTTCCATTATTGTCCCCCATCCTGCCCCAAATTACAGTCATTCCACAGCAACTTCCATCTCCCAACCCCCATCTCCCATCCCCCCCCCACACACACACACCAGAAACTTCCACTTCACCCTGTGTCCTGTCTGTGTGTTTTAGGCACTTCATCTAAGTGGATTAAGTGTCCTCTGTGATTGGTTTTACTTGGCACAGTCTTTCAAGTATATCCACGTTGTTTTTAATAGCTGTACTATGACACACAACAACAACAACACACACATCCATCACAACTTTCAGCCATTCATCTGTCCATGGACATTTCAGTAAATAACTGTATTTTGACTACTGTGATTAATACTGCAATAAATGAAGTATTGCACTTGTCTGAGATTCTGATTGCAGTTTCTTTGGTTGTTCAAAACTACCTCATAAAACCCACCCCTTGATGGCTAGGTCATGAGATAGAGTGCTCTCTCTCTCTCTCTCTCATTCCCTTCCTTCTACCTTCCCTCCCTCTGTGTCTCTGCTTCTTCCTCTCTCTTTCCCCCCCTTTCTGGCTTTCTTTCTCCCTCCACCCCTTCCTTCTCTCCTTCCTTTTCTTTCTTTTCCATAGTCTTTGTCCTAATGGCTCTACCTCATGGCTCTACATTTCCCCAACACCATGCCAGGGATTTGTTATTCCTTCCCCAGGTCACCCACCAACTCTGGTGGTGTGTCCTGATGTGTGACGTGCTCACCACCTCAACTCACCCTTTTGCCAGCCTACCATCTCTCCAGCCAAGCCAGACGGTGACAGCTGCCCAGAAACGCGTGTGCGCAGTGGCTGGGCCTGCGGCCCGCACCCTGCCCCAGCAGCCCCTGGTGTGTGTGTGTGTGTGTGTTGGGGGGGGGGGGTCCTGTGACGCCAGAAAAGGCCTGACCCCTCGGTTTCCCGGGGTGCCCTGGTCCCCCCCCCCGGGCCCGCCCCTCCCAGGCGTCCTCTGGGGGGCCTCCCCCCCGTAACCGCCGCGACCTCGGGATGGCGAGCAGCAAAGGGTCCAAGGCCGACTTCATTGTCGGGGAGAAGTACAAGCTGCTGCGGAAGATCGGGTCGGGCTCGTTCGGCGACATCTACCTGGCGGTGAACGTGATCAACAGCGAGGAGGTGGCGGTGAAGCTGGAGTCGCAGAAGGCGCGGCACCCGCAGCTGCTGTACGAGAGCAAGCTGTACCGCATCCTGCAGGGCGGCGTGGGCATCCCGCACATCCGCTGGTTCGGCCAGGAGCGGGACTACAACGTGCTGGTCATGGACCTGCTGGGGCCCAGCCTGGAGGACCTGTTCAACTACTGCTCGCGCCGCTTCACCATGAAGACGGTGCTCATGCTGGCCGACCAGATGATCAGCCGCGTGGAGTACGTGCACTCCAAGAACTTCGTGCACCGCGACCTCAAGCCCGACAACTTCCTCATGGGCATCGGCCGCCACTGCAACAAGCTCTTTCTCATCGACTTCGGGCTGGCCAAGAAGTATCGCGATAACATGACGCGCCAGCACATCCCGTACCGCGAGGACAAGAACCTGACGGGCACGGCGCGCTACGCCAGCGTCAACGCGCACCTGGGCATCGAGCAGAGCCGCCGCGACGACATGGAGTCGCTGGGCTACGTGCTCATGTACTTCAACCGCACCAGCCTGCCCTGGCAGGGCCTCAAGGCGGCCACCAAGAAGCAGAAGTACGAGAAGATCAGCGAGAAGAAGATGTCCACGCCCGTCGAGGTGCTGTGCAAGGGCTGCCCCGCCGAGTTCGCCATGTACCTCAACTACTGCCGCGGCCTGCGCTTCGAGGAGACGCCCGACTACGTCTACCTGCGCCAGCTCTTCGGCATCCTCTTCCGCACCCTCAACCACCAGTACGACTACACCTTCGACTGGACCATACTCAAGCAGAAGGCGGCCCAGCAGGCCGCCTCGTCCAGCGGCCAGGCCTAGCCGGGTGTGTGTGTGTGTGTTTGTGGGGGGGGGGCGCCTCCCCCCCCTCCGTGGGCTAGACCAATCCCCCCTCCCCCGGGCGGGCAGACTCCCCCCCCCACACTTCCTGCCCCCCCACCCCCACCCCCCAGAGCTGCAGCATGGGTTTCTCCCCAAGTCTACAAAGCTTTAGTCCCCGTGGACGCTCGCCCCGTGGTTGTGGACAACCACTGCCTTGCTGTACAGAACTGAAATTCCCGCGTGAAACTGGGCTCCAGGTAGCACTGGGCATGCTGGAGCCTGAATTGGAGCCGTGCGATTGTGAATAGGAAGTGAGAGTGGAAACGCCGTGTCTGGTTTTCAATGGCACGTGTATCTCCCCTCCCCCCTTCCCTCCCTCCTTCTCTCCCTCCCTTCCCTCCTTCCTTCCTTTGTACCCTCCTTTTCTCCTCCTCCACCCACCCCTGCCTGCTTGCCTGCTGTCCTTCCTGCCTGTCTTCCTCCCTTCCACCTGTCTGTATGTCTTCCTTCCCTCCTTCCTTCCTTTGCTCCCTCCCATTCTCCTCCTCGGCCTATCTCTCTGTCTTCCTTCCCGACTTCCTTTGCTTCCTTCCTTTCTCCTTTCTTTTTCTCTTTCCTTCTTTTTCTTTCTTTCTTCTTTCCTTCCTTCCTTCCTTCCTTCCTTCCTTCCTTTCTTTCTTTCCTTCTTTCTCTTTCTCTCTTTCTTTCTTTTGTCGGTCACTGTCTCTCTATCTCTTTCTCTTGATGGGACTAAGACTTGAACTCAGGGCCTAATGCTCTCACTTGGTCTTTTCATTGAAAGTTGGCCTTCTGCCACTTGAGTCATACCCCCACTTCTGGCTTTTGGCAGCACATTTGGAGAGGAAAGTCTTGTGGATTTTCTTTTGTCAGGGCTGGCTTTCAACCATGATCTTCAGATGTCAGCCTCCTGGCTAGCTAGGATTGATTACAGGCATCAGCCATAACAAGCACCTGACTTGTATTTCTTTTTCAAGAGGAAGAGTTAGCTCAGTGTTTGACAGATAGGTGGAGAGATTGTGCATATGCCAATCTTGGATCAAAAGCATTTCTTTTGAACTGTTTCTGAGGTCTGAGATTGAACAGTCTTCATCCAGAGTGGCAATGGCTATATCTGCTCACAGCTGTACATTCTCAGTTTTTTTTTAATTTTTATTACTATGGCTTGCAAATTGCTCACTTAAACCATTCTATAAGTGGCTAGCTTCTTGTTTACAAGCCAGCTGATAAAGCACTGACCAAAGATTCCAGAGTTTGAGCATATGCCTGCTTGCCTGTCCTAGAAATAATAGTATCTAAAGCTAACAATTAAGGAAAACTTAAAAACAGTGATAGTGCCCAGGCCCTGACTTCAAGCTCATTTACTGGAAAAAGGAGAGAAAAAGAAAAACTTAGTGACTGCTAGATTAATCTTAGGGTGCTTCATTAGATCTATAACCTTGGTATTAAAAAAAAAAAAAAAAACTTCCCAGAGAAATTTAACCTCTTGAATGGCTGCATTCAACCACTGCAAACATTTATATAACAAGGATTTTGGTTTTATGTTGCAATGGGAGTTTTTTGTTTACAAATGCTTTTAAAACTCCAAGATTAGCTGGGAGCCAGCGGCTCACTAGTATAATCCTAGTGGCTCAGGAGGCTGAAGTCTTGTGATCACGTTTTGAAGCCAACACAGACAGACTCATCCAAGAGATTCTTATCCCCAGCTAGTGGAGTGCAAAAGCTATGCATCAGAGTTGCATTAAATCAACAAGAAAATCAAAACCCAAAACACCAAAAAAAAAAACAAAACCTATTATGGAATTAACAACAAATCTCACAGAAACAAACCTCAAAATAAATCAGCTAAGTCAGAAGTGTAGGTGGAAAAAGGAAGTAGTCATGGCTTTCTCTCCTAGTCTCCAAGCTCAGTGTGTGATGTTAATGGAATAAAACTCTTGGACATTCTTTTGAATACTATTGAAACAAGCTGGGCTAAACACACCTTTTCAAAAATGGAAAAGTGCCATAACCATGAAATGTGGAAGTCAATTTCTTTTTTCCCTGACTTTTCATGTATATTATTTAGTTAAGTGTGCTTATTTAAGTAGTAAATAATCATTTCACATGACCAAATCTGCATTCCATTTTCATATTTAAAGGAAAAATAGGGTATTAAAATACATAACACATGCTAGCTATAAGGGAAGATATTTGACATATTTTACTGTGTGACAAGACTATTTAACACTAGGATAGATATAATTAAATGTCTACTAGAAAGCAAAGATCAGAAAAATAGAATAATAAATGTAATAAATAGAACACACTATAATTTATTTAATAGCATCAGTTAAAGTTTCATCTGAACATGTCCATTTATAGCTACAATGACATATCTTGATCACAGTCCCCCTTTCATCCTTTTCTCTCTTCCTCCTTCCCCATCCACTTCGCAGATCATTCCCATCAACTTTCCATGTTCCACTTTTACACATGCACAAAAAGTATTTTCACTGTGTTCACTTGCACTCAATTTCTGTTCATCTCCTTACAAAAGTAATTACACCCCAGAAAAGATAAGTTTTGACTTTCCAGTTGACACTAAATGCTTTCAAACATTGTGCATTGATCAGTGTGGTTACAAAAATGAGCATTTTTCCTGGGTTATTAAAATATTTAATAATTTAAGTGAGCATTGTGTAGAACTGAATATACTCAGGGTAGACAGGAATAGATGTACTTCAGAGAGGAAAATACATTTCCCAAAAACCTTTAGGAAAAAAGTGTTGGGGAAATTACATTTGATAGTATTACTGGTTTGCTTTTTGTTTATAGCTTGATTTGTGCCAGCTCTGGGGCTCACACTCAGGGGCTGGGGACCGTTCCTAAGCTTTTTGCTCAAGGCTAGAGCTCTACTACTTGAGCTGCAGCTTCATTTTCAGCATTTTGAAGGTTAATTGGAGAAAAGAGTCTCTTGGACTTTCCTGCCTAGTCTTGCTTTGGACCATAATCCTCAGATCTCAGCCTCCTAAATAGTTGGCCACTGGTTCCCAGCTTGTATTCCTGTTGTTTTTATAAATGAAATTAAATCTCAGTTGGAAGCAGGCATACAGATGCTACAAATTTAGAACCTCTCTCTTCTGCATTTTTTCTTTCTGGCATGTCAGCATATTATATTGTGTTAAGATGGCAGAGTTTGGAAAGTGATCATAGGATATTTTGACTTCCAGATGTCCTTTTTCCTTCCTGTCCCCATGAACACTCATGAGACAGTCATACACAGAGATTTGTTTTTCCAAGTCAACATACCTATGGAGATAATCTTCACATTTCCTGTTGGAATACTTTCTGGCATTAAATTTTGACCAGCTTCATTTGTTTATTTTAACATTGAATCATTTCTACTTGCTACTCTTCAAGACCTACCTGTCTTTTGGTCTTGGCACCTATTTATAACTACTAAGCTTTAAAACTAATGATAAAAATTTAGTCACAGAATAAAAATAGAACTAATAGTAGCAATTCAGTGCTAGTGGCTCCCTCCTGTAATCCTAACTACTCAGGAGACTGAGCTGTGAAGATCAGGCAGGAAAGTTCATGAGACTCTATCTCCAATTAAACACCAAAAAGCCAGAGGTAAAGCACTGGCTCAAGTGATAGAGCTCCAGATTGGAACAAAATGCCAAGCAAAGGCCCATGACCTTGAGTTGATGCAGCAGTACTGATACACTCCCAAAAATTTAGTCACAATTTCCTCCAAGGAAAATCTTCAGTAATCCATGTTTTAAATGCTCATTATTACAAGTGAGAGCCCAACTTAGTTTCTCCCTGTTTTGATTTTATTTTTTGTGCCAGTCCCGGGGCTAGAATTCAGGGACTGAGCACTGTCATGCTTAATGCTAGTGTTCTACTACTTGAGCACATCTCCACTTCCGGCCCTTTTTTTTCCCTAGTTTATTAAATATAAGAGTCTCAGAGACATTTCTTCCTGGTCTAGTTTCAAATTATGATCCTTAGATCTCAGCCTCCTGAGTATATATGATCTCAGGCCTGAGTCACCAGTACCTGGCCAACTTACTTTCTCATTCTTCTCCAGGAAGGTTGGTCAGGAAACCTGTTTTTCTGATTTCAGATTAGATAAGCCAGTAAAGTTTACATCTGATTTATTATCAAAGTCATTTTTGAATGGAATATTTTATCATCATTCCAAAGTGATAGGCTTAATAAATCCACAGTTTAAAATTACTTCTCTTCATTTAAGCAAAAAAGTGCTGTGTTCAGCAACAATGCTCAAATCCCCACTGTTAGGTCCAACTGGCCCCAGAACAGTGTGGTGATTCACCAGCACTCCCACCGCGCCTTATCCTCTCTTCCAGACCAAATAAAAATGCATACAAGCACCAGAACAAAATCTACTTCCAGTTTGGACCTTACAAAGATACCCTTAGGCTCAGCTGCCTGCCTTCCTCCAGCTGTGACTTTGTTTCCCACCATTTGTTTCACCATTGGTTACTTTCTAACCACCCCATTAGAGAATTCTCCCATTCAGATTGTAAGCAAAGAGTGAATCTCCAGCTCCAGCTGGAGGCTCCCCCTTGGAGGTTATTTTTTTCTAATAAACCTGTGCTGGTGTTGAGCTGTCTCTTTGTCTACCTTTTCTGTCACCTTTTCCCCCCCCTCTTTTTGAACCTAACCCTCTGAAAGAACAGTTCTCTAAGGTGTCAGATGGTTCTATGTATCACCATCAGAGCTCTTTAGGACTTGTGTAACATTGTAGTCTGCCTCCATTTGCTAGCAGATGAGAGACAACATAGCCAGGATGCAGAAGCAATCTGTACTTCATATATAATGTGTCTGGTCCTGCAACAGTGTCCCCTCTGGTCCTGTGTCAGGAAGTGCCACTCTGGTCCTATGACAGGATGTGCTCCCTCTGTTTCTGGGGCAGGAAGTGTTTCCACTCTAGTTCTCATTCCCATTACATCATCTCTGTATTCCTGGAG